CGTGGGCGTATTTATTCAAAGTATATTTGTCCTAATGTTTGCAAAAGTCCCATAAGACAACCTGTAAAGACTCCCCCCCCCGTAAATAAGAATCATGTCCACAAGTTCAGCATTTTCGTAAACATGTGCCATTTTTTATTTCGTTTGAGCCACGCAACAAACACCACTATTCACTCACGCGTTACCGACTGACACATTGACTGAATACAACTGAATAAAATTGTAGTAAAAACATCGTGATAAGCATTTCAAATTCTTTCGCTTTTTTGTTTCCGATAATATTATTATTGAGACAGGTCGGTACTCAAACTTCTAAAGGGCTATAACTTTGTTACTTTAATTTTACCAGAAAAATGTTAAAGGAAAAAACATTTCTTTTGATCAGATCTTACTCACTGTTAAAATAAATGACTCAACTTCAAAGTCACCCTGTATGTAATAATATTCTGTGAGGCAGTAGTCTAGTATTCCTCAGAAGAAGCACAGTGCAGTGGAGCAAGGCCCAAACCCCAATTAAAATAAAAGTGGTGATAAATAAAGACCAAATTAATATGCAGACACAAATGTCTCGATCAGATGATTGTATAGATTCCTTAAAGTTACCAGGCTATTAAAATTCTATGAATATGTATTCGGCGGGTGTCACCGCGGGTGGATCACTGATGGTTTTTTATGATTTCTTATGGGGTTCTCGCTACGGGGGTACAATGAGTATCCGAAATATTGGGTATAAAGTTTCGTGCATAACAAAGGATTCGACAGCTGTTAATTGTCTTGCTGAATTGATGAAATCGATTTATAGTCGATTCAGGGTGGTTATCATTTGTAAAGTTTTATATATTTCTCAAAATCCTTGCTGTACCCACCAGCAGATGGTCACTTAGCGCTAAAATAGAAAAAACAATATATTCACCACTATTTTTGATATACAGGGTGTTTCAGTTTATTCTTGCATAACTTTAATATTCGATAGAACTTTAAAAACTAATGCATAAAGTCTATATAAACATGGGTCGAAAAATGCGTAGCTTCCGAAATACAGGGTGTTTAAATTTACTTTCTAAAATAGTTTTTTTTAAATATTTCGAACAATACTCGATGTATAACAGTGAAAATTGGTACACAAGGGTTTTTTGGTACGACAAAACGAACCATGGGCAAAGTTTTACTGTAGCCGCTAGAGGGCGCTCGCTACTGTACGTGTAGTGTATTAAAATGACCAAAACATTTTTTTTAGTGACATTATTCAAATGAGATATTTTATCAGAAAGGTCTAAGCCATAAGCTGCACCATGTCTCGAGCCATTTCCAAAAATCTAATAACTTGTGTGAGTTTCTCATATTCTACTTCAAAAATTGAGTAGCATATTCTTCACTATACACATGGTTTCGGTGCATGCCTGAGTGTTTCGTCTAGAGCCTCTTGAACATATACGAGTAGGATATAGTTTCTTCAGCATCTACTATCACGTATGATTACAACAGGCAGATTTGTTGATGAGTACTTATGGTGGAATAATATTCCGGGTGTAGCAAAAGTAATGAGACGGTGCTATGTTTGTACAGGTATTTTTGAAAAAAATCAAGGTCAGATCATTATTAGCTTAGAACAAGGTGTTCAACTGCAACCCTGGATTTGACCTTAAGCCTCACCTTCAAGTTTATTTCAAGGTCAACTTAACTTTTCCAAATGAAAAGCGCATTTTTGACATCATCACCAATCGGAAGATTGGGAGATTTGATGTCCGAGTATGTCCTCATCTTTGACTCAGGCCATCAAAACAACGGAGAATTTCAAGTCCGAGTAAGTATCAGAATCTAATATCAAACCTGAAGATGAAATGAAGGTGAAATCCCTGAAGCTTAGCGGGGTTATTGATAAAAAGCAATTGTCAGGGTCATGTGTTTAGTAATTTTTAACAAGGATTTTCCATTGCTACTGCCAGGAAGAGGAGTTTAGCATCAACAACAGTGCAAAAAGAAAATAATAAGCCTCTTAGCTTCTTTCCGCCGGGAGAAAAATAAAACAAAGCAGGGGACTAGTACAGGAAAAGGTAAATAAATGAAATAATAAGATAAATTAGTTGTGTTTTATTTAAATAATAAAACAAAATATTTTTGCTAATACTAATTTAATTTTTAATTCAACTAAATAATATGCTTTTAATTAAGTTAGTTCACTTGCCGTATATAATTTTAATCTCGATTTTAATTTTCAGGAAGAGACGAAGTTTATTGCAGCAGATGGTTTGCCTCTGAAGCGTTTAGGTTTTTTTTTTATTTACATCAGCCATTACTAAAACTGCAGCACTCATTACTAAAATAGTATAATTGTCGTTTCGCGAAGCCATACTGCATTTGTCGACTGCGATGTTTGTTTGCGTTTGGTGCGCTCAATCTGTGGATCGCTGGAGGTTCGCGGAAAAAATCATTTCAACGAACCACCATCGAGCGGCTCACAAGCGGCTCGCGAACCGCTCGGCTCGCATATGTATACGCACCTTTAAATAATGTCATCGTAGATGATTTGATCTTTTTGGTCAGCAAGAGGGAGAGAGACAGAAAGAGCAAAACAGGGAAAGAGAGAGACAGAGTGTGTAATCATGAATGTAGCCATAATTAAAGTCTATTTCATTATTATAAAATGTTTCCAGTAGAACGTGAAACACACATCATCGGTATCCGTACCGTAACCCATTACCGGGTCGCTAATAGAGGCCGTCCATCCGCGCCGTGGTCCGCTCGGTGCCCGGGCCCCCGGCCCCATATATTACCATGTAGCCGGGGGGCACGCCGGCACCCCCGCTGCGTATTCCGAATCACGGGCCCTCACAAACGACGACGATTTCTTTTTATTATAAGAGAAAAATTCGGCGATGTTATTAACAATATGTTTTCAGTTCGGCTGATGCTGATGGCGTATCGTTCGCTCATTTCTTCCTTTTTCGTCTATCCAGTTTTGTTCTTGCTGACGTGGTATTGAGGAGATACAACAGGTGCACATAGGTTGCTACGAAAATTTGTATTTTTTTGTAATTAAAAGTCCATGACTGAGGTGAGTCACTGAATTGATATAAATGAAGCAATTTATGTAAACATGAATTACAAGTCAACACTTAACTAAACTGTTTATTGAATTATGTGGAGTGGCCCATTGTGCTCTACCAGACGCAACTTTCTCTTTTGAGGTCCTGGACGGAATCTAGATACGTTCTCTCAGTTTTTCGTAATTTCGCCGTCTTAATTATTCTTCATCTTCATGATAAACCTTTCTAGACAGTAAAGCTCAAAAATCCTCTATCGGCCGAGCCTGCGGCAAGTTTCATTTCAGAATTACTGAAAGTAAAATACTTTTCGTCATCTAAAATAATGGTTTTTCCATTGGCAAAATTTGCCCGTCTCAGTTGACGACAGCATCTTGGTATACGAAGGGGTTGACCTTTAGAGTATTTAGGGCGCTTAAGCCTCTTTCGATATTTAAGAGCATCAATCCCAATTCAAATAATATCGTTCTCTTAGAAGATCTGTACTGACGAGTCTCCTTGTTGACATTCCAACTTTTTTGCTCTTCTTACCAATCTCTCTGATCTCTTTGCAGTAAATGCACGTGGTCTTCCACTTTTTGGACGATTCAGACATGGTATTCCCTGCTCGTACTCCGCTATTGTTCGATAAATGGTTCTGCGTGGAAAGTTTTCATTCAGATTTCAGCTTTGGGTACCCGCCCAAGCAACTTGTAGATATTTTTTCTTATTTCTAATTTATAAGTCACCTTAAAGCAAAACTTCAAAATAAATAAATGTCAACTGACAATAAAGTGAGTAAGCAAACTTTTATTTCCAAAGGCAACTTGATATTATTTTGTGTTTACTAAAATCAAAGTCAATGAATTTTGTGCCACAGCTTTTAGGATATACGTTAGAGATTAATGTTTACAAAATATAAAAATGCCAACACCAATATACCTATCCTTTCAGACGGATGAGTATGCTGAGAATTTGTCAGATATACAGGAACTTACGGACATTTTTATTCTCAAAAGCTGCAATAACAGTGAATTGTTGTTAGTTGGCAGCTTTGACAGCGTGTTTTTTGTAGAGCTTTTTTCCGAATTGTGACCATCCTAATTTCAAGCTACCTATGAAGGCCGCATAGCACCGGAATATGAATCCGCACAGGTTAGAAGGAGCCAGAGGTCTGTATATGTTTGCATGGCAAAATTTCGTAGCCTTAGTGCATACTACTACGAACGTGACAAGCCCATAGATCGGCGTGAATTCTTTTCTTTGAAAATAATATTCAAGTAACCAATCGTCCTGGGTGTACCCACCTACAAATATACCTGCGGTGCGATGTGAATCGCTCAGGGATAAGTTTACAATCAAAACGAATGTAAATACTTATTAACGGTACAGCATATGAATAATTCGGGCTAATTCTGGTAGCTGAAATTTACAAAAACCTTCATCCATTAGCAGCAGTGCCGGAGTACCTGATATAGGAAATAGTGGTACACCTTGCATGAACAGTTGTTGGGGTAATTCTTGACTAAGAACAAAAACCAAGTTGAGCATTTATGGAAATTGCTGCCGTTATACCATGGTCACTATACAGGTCGTTTCAAATTCGACCCTCACCATTGAGATCTGGGGAGCTATAAGAGATACGGCAACGTAGCTACTAACGTCGTGAAAATTCAGTCCCGTTGTTTTGGATTGTAAATATCGTAAAAATCTTGTTTTATTTGATTATTTCGCAACGTTTCAGTTCTGTTGATATCTAATTTTGAATGTGAGTTAAAATCGTCGGTGTCTGTGTCGCTTTTGCACCGAAAATCGGAATTTTGGTTCCAAAACAATAGTACAACTCAGGAATTTTTTTGTCACCTCGTCAGTGAAGACAGAACCTTCTGTGTGTGCGGTGTTGCGACGTTGAAGTAATATTCTGAGGTAACAGAATTTTATGTCGTGTTTCATGTGGGCAAATACGTTGGCCCAAAGATGGGAGGAACTGAGGATGATGGCGGAGACTCTTTGTGTAAAATATGCAAACACGAAGTAAAAGACAATGAACATGGTCTTTTATGTGAAGGAAAATGCCAATCTTGGTATCACATAACTTGTCTGGGTATTACTAGTCAGCTATATAAAAAAATGTATGGAGAAATTCTGAAGATCCTTATTTGGATGTGCCCTTCTTGTAAGAAACAGCTTAAGCAATTAATGGAACTGGAGACCTGTGCTGATAAGATGAAGACTCTTTGTGACAAATTTGCAAATATTGAAGGAAAAGTTAATAGCATATCCGAAAGTATGAAGAAGTCCTTTTCAAAGCCTACATATTCACAAGTTGCAATCTGTAACAAGCAGTTTTCCGTGGCAAAACCTGTAAATCTGCCCAACTTGATAATTAAGCCAAAAAACAAGAAGCAAGATTTGCAAAAATCCAAGCAAGATATTGAAAAAATCAAACCAGTGGACATTGGAGTTAGAATTAATACTAAAAAGGAGCTATCAAATGGAAAAATCCTTCTAAAATTTCCATCGGAATCTGACATGGAGAAGATGAGAGATACTGCTACAAAAGTTTTAGGAAAAAATTACGAAATTATTCAAACTACATTAAGGAATCCTCAGATAAGAATCCCTGGATTTGTACAGGATTGTAGTGAAAACACTGTAGAATCCATAATAAAGAAGCAAAATCCATTTATAGGTGAAGAACACTTTAAAGTCACATATATAAAATCTTTTAAAACAAAAAAATATAAGACTGTATATGCAGAGTGTTCCCCTAAGTTGTTTCACTTACTTATGGAAAGAAAGAAAATTTACATGGGATGGGAGAGATTTCCAGTATATGAAAATATAAGTATACTTAAGTGCTTTAAGTGTCAGCAGTTTAATCACAAATTTAATGACTGTCCCAACAAACCAGTCTGTTGCAATTGTGCTGGAGAACATGATACGAAAGAGTGTGTAAGCCGGAATCAAAAACCAAAGTGCAAAAATTGTGAAAGTGCAAATAAAAAATACTCAACAGGCTATGACATCTACCACAAGGCAAATGATGAGGAATGCTCTACATACAAATATCGTCTGGACAGTGCAAGATCGAGAATCAACTATGGCTGATCCTACAATTGAGCTTCTTGAGGACTTACCAGAGTCTGTAAATAGTAGCTTAAGAGTGAGTCCGGGTGTTTTGATAGATAAGATAAATATAGTGGGAAAACTGATTAACATTTTACATATAAACATTAGAGGTTTAATCACAAACTTTAATAATTTGTTGGTATTCTTGGAAACTTACAATATTAATGATTACTGTGATATTGTGATTTTGACTGAATGTCATAAGTTAGAATCTTTTCGAAAGTTTGACATACCAGGTTATGTATCATATTACAACAGTGGTAACTATAATGCTTTCGATGGGGTTATTATCTACACAAAACTAAATTTGAATCCAATTTTTGTCAACTATAAACTACGGAATTCAGAAGTTACCATAACTAAAATTGCATTGTCTGTAAAAAATGTTACCTATACTATATTTGCTTTATATAGATCTCCATCTTTGAGTTTACATGAATTTTTGAATGACTTAAATATATTTTTTGAAACTAATGTTAGTAGTAATAGTAACATTGATATTTTTTTGGGTGATATTAATATTAATCTTCTAAGTAAGGATAATGTTGATGTAAACAGGTATCTTTCCATAATGTTCTCGCATGGGTTTGTTCCATTGTGTCAGGGGGTTACGAGGGAGGTGAGTGAAACCTGTCTCGACCATCTTTTCGTGCGCGACAAAATCAAAGCAGCCTCCAGAAAAATAGATAGCTATATTATAGAACATGACATAACTGACCATCTACCCCTCATGCTTCATGTTTCAGATGACTTCGCTGTAAACTCTACAGAATCTAACTGCCGAAATGTCTTTAAATGTATTGATATGAATAAATTGAAGCACTTAGCATCTGAGGTAGACTGGAACTACAGTTTGGTTTTTGATCAAGCAGAGGAAGCAACCAATTACCTTTTTAAAAAATTAAGTAATATTATAGAAAAGTCAGAATTTGTTAAAAACACCCTGAATAATTATAAAAAGCTTAAACCGTGGATTACAAATGCAATAATTAAATCTATGAAAAACCGAGATAAGCTGAAAAGAGCCCTTAAGCTAAACCCGTCTCCAGCAGAGATATCGGAATACAAAGAATATAGAAACCGTCTTAATAAAATAATAAGATTTACAAAAAATGAGTACTATAAAAGTAAATTTAATCAAAGCTCGCATGATATCAAAAAAGTTTATAAATTAGTTAAAGAGGTAACAAATGAAAGCCAAACAGAATGTCCTATAACTTACCTAAAGGATGAAAAAAATGACATGATTATTGATAAAAAGCAAATTGCTGATTTTGCAAATAACTTTTTTACAAATATTGGCAGAGAAATGTCAGATAAAATTGGGAACCCTCCCACACCTTTTCAATTTATAAATAGCCCTTCCTATTCAGTGTATTTAAAACCGACCAACAGGAATGAAATTATTGAACATATAATGAGTCTAAAAAATAGTTGCTCTCCAGGATTAGATAAATTAACGACTAAAATAATCAAACAACTACATGTATATCTCTTGGATCCCTTAGTTCATATAATCAATCTGATTTTCAAAACGGGCAAAGTACCTAAACAATTTAAAGTATCGGTTGTATCACCTATTCACAAAGCAGGAGATAAAGAATATATAAGTAATTATAGACCAATAAGTATAATCTCAAATTTAGCAAAGATATTTGAAAAATGCCTTAAGGTTAGATTGGTTGCATTCTTGGACTCAAATAAGTTGTTATCTGAGAATCAGTTTGGTTTTAGACAAGGTTTAAGCACATCACATGCGGTTTATCAATTAGCGTCTAAAATAATGTATCATTTAAATAACGGTGATAAGTGCATCGCTTTGTTTTTGGATTTAGCAAAGGCATTTGACACGGTATCTCATCCTATGCTCCTCCAAGCACTGGAGGGACATGGAGTTAGGGGTGCTGCGTTAAGTGTATTTAGAGATTATTTAATGCATAGGATTCAGTGTGTCAGGATTGCGGACGTTCTAAGTGAACCTAAGACGGTTCAGCATGGAGTTCCACAGGGTACAGTACTTGGGCCAATTCTTTTTAATATATATGTAAATTACCTCTGCAGTCTTGCAGTTGATGGCGATGTAATTGCCTATGCTGATGACACTGTGGTGGTGTTTCATGGAGAGACATGGGAATCAACGGGTGAAAAATTGAAGACTAATTTTGCAAAAATTAAAAACCTTCTGGATACATTTAAATTAACTCTGAATATAAAAAAAACTCATTACATTGCCTTCGCTATAACCATGGCTAATAGACCAGCATTTAATCAAATTAAACTTGATAATATTGATGAGCCTTTGAAAGAAGTAAATGAAATTAAATATTTGGGGGTTGTTGTTGATAAGCACTTGAAGTGGGACCGACATGTGCTGTATTTGAGCAAAAAAATTAGATTTTTCATTCATAAATTCTACGCTCTTCGTAATATACTGAACATTAAACTACTATTAATGATTTACAAAGCACTTGTGGTGCCACTATTGGTATATGGCATAATTGTGTGGGGTTCAAATCTTGGGCAGCTAAAAGTGGTGCAGAACCATATTGTAAGGATCATTCTAAAAAAACCTAGACTATATCCCACTATGCAACTTTATTCACAAGAAATAAACAATATTAAAATCTTATATATCCTTGCAGTATGTAGTTTTGTACATGCAAGTAAGAAATTAAATACAAATTATGTGTCCCACAATTATATGACCCGAGCAAACACCACTCATAACCTGAACGTCCCGCAGTCCAGGCGAGATTTAAATTTGCGTTTTGTGACATATCTTGCACCTAAATTTTACAATTTGATTCCTGCTAATATCAGGAATATTGGAAATAATAAAAAATTTAATATTTCGTTTAATATGTTCTGTTGGGAAAATCGTGAACAATTTATGCGTCTATTTTAAGTTGCTTTGAGGTAGTTTGATCTGCCTATTTGTTCCATCTTTTTCCTTTTTCATATTATTGTGACACTTTTTTTCTGTGATCTTAAGTTAAATCTATTACTTACAAAAATATGAAATTTTCTTTCATTTTGTGTATATCGTGTATCATGTTTTGTTTGTATAGTTGAGTGATTTTATACAAAAATATATATTGCACGATATTTATCAATTAATTACTGTTTTGGTCTGTTTTTGCGCATACAAGTTTTTAAACTTAGGCGCTCATATATTATAGAGAAACCTTGTTTTTGTTTCGTTAATTTACAGATATATATTATTTTTATATTGGTAAATTTTGTGTTCTGCTGAATAAATGTGGTAGAGTTCAGGGCGTACTGTTCTCTCCAACAACAACAAAAAAATAAGTGATACGTAAGTCGTTTAAATGGGGGCAAAGTTGCGGATTAGGTACTTCCGAAGAGAGACGGGCACAACCGAATTTTCCCAAAATCGTTTTGATTTTTCCTAATCTCATTTATAGTGGGATTTCAAAGTAACTTACACACTAACATTGCCATTTCTCTCTCTTCTACAACATGGAATAGTTAGAACTTCAATATGACGGTTCGTGTCTTGTCCTCCAGCAACAAATTTATTTTTTATTATGGACGCGGTATTGAACTTTTGCACAGTTGAAGAGAGTTTTCAATTATCATTTTCAAAAATATATAATACGTCTAACATTGCCACTGCCTAACATTGGTTGTTTCAGAAAAGCAGGATTTTGAGATTATCGTATAGTCATACCAGATTTATCCCAAAATCACTTTTATTTTTTCCTTTGAGATGGGATTTCAAAATCATTTGCATGTTGTCTCTGCTACTTAGTATATAAGATCACGAACTTTATTTTTTCATATGGGCGCTATAATGGAATTTTGTACGTTTAAATTCAGTGATGTATTTCCTTAGATGGCCATGAATTTGTTGTTCGATGAAAATTATAAGGAAATAAAAAGGCATGGTGAAACCTGAATAAAACATGAACATTCTGTTGATGGTAATAGCAATAATAATCATAAATAATCATAGCAGATGTTCAAAACCTCCATAAATTTCTAGGCAAAGCCTCTTTCCCGGTATATTTGTTCGCTGCTTGACTCATTTCTAGTTTCCTCAGTCATCCAAACCCTGTTGCTATGCTTACTTTGAGGTGTGGTATGGTATACGGAACAAATGAAATCTGATAATTACGAGGGCTACCTACGAACTTCCGTTTTTCTGGAATAACTAAGGTTTGGCAACGTCAGTGTATGATATACATTTTTGAAGCCAGAATCAAAAACTCTATTAATTTGCGAGAATGAATAAGAAAAAATGAAGTTGATGCTGGAAGACAATAGACTAAACGAACGTCGTATTGAGATTCTAGTTATGCCATCTTGTAGAGGAGAAAAAGTGTCAAAGTTGATGTGCAATTTATTTGCCCATTATAATTAAAGTCAGAAAAAAGATAAAAGGATTTTGGGGGAGTTCGGCATTTTTCGTCTCTCTCAGCAAGTACTTTGAGTAAAGTAAGTTAAGTGAGTAAGTAAATTTTTTAAGCGGCATGTCATTGATTACCTAAATACGCAACCTTCCGCAACAGTTTTCAAGATTCCATCTGTGAGTGAAGAATTTGAAACACCCTGTATATGATCAATAAGAAGAATTGGAAGTGATTTAGTAAATCCACATTCAGAGATCTTTCTGGGGCATGTGAGCTTTTTTAACAGATTGGCATGTCAGTTGAATGAGAAAACGTGAAATTACTATTTATGTCGCGAAAGTTAGCACCCCAAGAAATTATAAATGATTCCGCATGAAAGGAGATACGACTCAAAGTTAAAGTTTTGATTAGAACTTTTCAGTATACACAAAAATGTTTGATCTGCCTTCAATATTATGCACATTTCAAGGTTGCGTTGCTACAAAACCGTTCATCGGGACTGAATACTCAGAGAAGCAATAAACGGAACGAAATACTATAATTCAAAATTACTCCACACTGGTCCCGCTAAAATCCCAATGTCGAGATACGTCCCCTTTAATAAAA